GCCTCTCCCTTTTTTGCGGGCCCGCGGGGCCCGGCCGGCCGCTGCGGTGCGCGGGGGTGGGGGTGTGCCGTTTCCATGGCAAGGTGCGCTACGAGGGCACATTCTTCCCCAGGGTGGGAGTGCCCTGGGGATACGAGAAGGAGGGTGACGGGGGTGGCAGAAAGAGGAGCAGGGGGTGGTCAGAACAAGGGAGGAGTCTGAGGTTGGGGTGAGGTGTTTGGAATCTGACTCCCTCCTGTAGTTCTCCGGAGGCATACTGCTCTTTATTCCGCCTCCCACCCTTGCTAGGGTTCAGCGCCCCAATCCAGTTTCCAGGGGAGGGACCCCCAACCACCGACCCAAAGGCCTTTTGGGCACTTCCGAGGGAACAGCTCTCTTCCCGGTGGAGATACAGGCTAGACTGCGTGCAGAAGCCCTGCAATTAAGCCCCTCGCCTGCCTCCGCGCCGCCTGCCCTCAGGGCTGGGTGTACACCGCCAATTACAGCCGCGCGCACCAATTGCTTACACTGGAGTCCCGGGAGCTGCCGGGGATGGGGACCGCAGGCAGGTCGAGGGGGCGGGGCCTCTGGGATTGTCCCTGGCCTTGGGATTCTTAATCGGACCTTCAGGTTTAGACCTTTTAGTTCAATTTCTCCCTCTCCGGGGTCTACAGAGTGCTCAGCACACTGTGCCTCAGTTTCTACTCCTCGATCGCCCTCAAATCAGAAAAAGCACAGGGAGGATCTGGGGCGTGGTGTGGATGTTGGCGGGTCTGGCGTCCAGGGCTGGGTACTCAGAACTCAAGGCCCTCAAGGCCGGTTCCTTTTCCCACTGCTGACTGCCGCGTGGATTTCTTGGCTCCGCGCCCAGCCCCGTGGACTCTGAACCACCCCGAGGCTGCTATCAGCCCATACTGCTTTTGTTGGAATTAGAAAACGGCGCCCCTTCTGGGCAAGAGGTTTCCGGGTTCAGTCCCAGAAGGGAAGGCAATCTGGGAATCCGCGGAGCATCCCCAGCCACCACCCTTACCCCCTGCCGTCCCTTCTTCGACGTCCCCCGCCGGCTACTCTGCAGGGGCTCGGATTAGAGTTTCGCGCCTCCTACATCTGGCCTGCAGCTGGACGCAGCTCGCTGAAAACTGCTGAGGACACGGCGCCCTCTGTTGGTACGGAGAGGCGGCGCAGCAGCCGCGGCCCTGGGGTCTGGGTCCGGCGCTCCAGTTCCAGGGGTCTCGGGTTCCACGGATTCGGTGCCCATTGCCCTTGGGAACCACCCGCCCTCTGCCTCTTGTCTCTCCCAAATCCAACTTCACAGGCCCTCTGCTCTCCATTGGCCAAGCCTTGCTGACCCTTCTTCCTGCATTCCTGTGTACTTAAAACCCCGTCCAGCGACGTAGCTGTCCCCGAATCTCGCTCGCATCATCTCAAATCGTCAGAGTTCAGTCAGCAGGTTCTGCGAACTATCACTTCGCGCCCAGGGATCCCTCCGCTCCCAGCGATCACTCCCCGCCCAATGTAAAAGTCCTAAAATAGGAACATGATTACATAAATCACCGCCCATTTGCTCAGTGGAATTCCTCCCCGCGTCCTTAAAAATGAGGTGGTTGAATTATATTTAGTGATTGAGGCAGTGTTCGCTCTACATTTGGGGAGAAGGGATTCGAGACACAAAATAGCGCTGCGAAGGGCCCTTCTTTTACTGCAACAAAAATGTTTAGATGTGGTTTACCTTTTAAAAGTCTAAAATAAGCATCAAAACTCTAACAAATCGTTTTGAGTGGAGGATTATAGGTGGTTAAAATTTTACTCTGTGTTTATCTACAATTTTATTTGCCTATAATAAACAGTACTTGG